CACTGCTCTATCAGTATGCTGCAGAGAAGGACCCTTGTTCTCATTGTGGAAGCAGTGGTCTCTCTACAGAGGTCTGACACACCCAAATTTAAGCAGGTACAGTGCAACCTTCTAACTGTAGGTGGTGCTCTTTTGCAGCACTGCTACTGGAGGAGAATGGAGGAAGGACAGAGTATGGACTCTGCTATTTCTCTATTCTGGGACTTAGAATTGGGACTGAAGACTTCTGTCTGTCTTCACGTGTGCTATTCTGCCTAGCAGCCACCCTCTTCATCCAGATGCTGCCAGTACACTGAGTTAGCACTGTTAATGTGGTTACCAATTTCTGGGCTGTGTTAAAGTGCCTTTGATACAAGCTAAACCGTTGCATCACCAGGTCTCCTCTACTATACCACTGGGATTGCTAAGCAGAATGTTGCTGCTCCCCTGCTCCACGTGTAAGTCCTCATGCACACTGGACTTTTTTACAGCTGCTGTTTTGGCTTTTGCTATTTTTTTTCTACAGCCTGTAAACTCCCCAGCATGTTATCCTATGTGCCCACATAGACTGTAATCAACGTTTTTTGGCTGGAAACCCCCCCCCCCCCCAAAACTAGACGGTTTCTACAGGAGTGTTTCTACAGCAAACCAGTTTTTGGACTTTTTTGATACCAAAAAAATTGTTTTTCAGTAAAAAAATGCAAACGCAAACGCGCCAAAACGCTGCTAAACGCTAATACAAAAATGCTAAAAATTGCTTAAAAAAAAACTCACGTTTTTAACATGACTTTACACAGCTAATGATACCAGCATTAATAAAACGTCCACTGTGCATGGAGACTAACTGTTACGGCTGTGTATTCTGATACAATTGTGCCATTTCATCTGGTTTCTCAATGCCATTACTCTATATTGGGTATAAAGCACTGGGACACACCTATATACAGCTGAGTCAGACCTAGAGCCCTGCAATCCGCATAGGTCACACGTCCTGCTGAATGGAGAACCCTAGCTCTGACTCAGTAGGAAGTACATCAGACCTCTGCAGGGAGACAGGGAGCAAGGGTGCTCTCTGCAGCCTTCCGGCAGGGGATAGCACTTTCTACCCAGGCCCTTGCTGCTTTATAATGAAAATGAACTAAGATTTGAAACACCCTTTGTTTTGATGCATCAAATCATGCTATTTTTTACTATATAAATAACAGTAACAAACAGCAAGATTGAGCATATTACACAGCTGTAGTGAGTTGAAATTTAATTAGTTAACCCGTACGTCGCTGATCAGGGGGGGCGCAACACGCTCAAGTGGGCATGCAACCCCCTACCCCCACGTACGCTGTGTACCCCGGACACAGCGGAATGAGAATCCCGGTAATCTTGACTCAGTGATCATGTGTCACAATGACAACAAAGCTTTTTTGAATCAATCTGATTCATGAAGGCTTTGCTTCTGTTCCTGGAGAGCTGTGATTGGTCCACAGCTCTCACATAACACATGGGGACAATTACAGCACCCTGTACCATGTGACCAGCTGGAGCCAATCACAGATCACTATTATATTGAACTTAATACATTCATGACAGCTCAAAGCAACCTGTACATTGCAGAGCAATACCCTCAATGCAATGAGGGTTATACAATGTTACTGTGGTAGCATTGCACTACTCTGATGAAAGTATTTTTAAAAATTGTAAAAAAAAAAAAAAAAAAGAAAAAATGTTTAAAAAAATATTGAGAAAAGTTTTTTTTTTTTTTTTTAATACTTGCAGGTGGGCAAGCAGTGGCTCTGGATAAAGTGACACAATCTTACGCCGCTTTCTATTTCTGGGTGCGCGTGCACATGCAATGCGCCCCCCCCGCGCTGCCCCCTATGCCGTCCAGGAAGAGAAAAGGGAACAGGGCACTGAGTAACAGCACTACATTTTACACACACTTTATACTAGCACATTTAACTCTTTGATCACCCATTAACCCTTTGATCACCCCCCGTCACCCATCAAGTGCCATTAGTAAAGTATCAGTATATAGAATTTTTCACTGATCACAATACTGCATCCTGCATAGCGATAACTGACGCGTTTCGGGAGACGAACCCCCTTCTTCAGAGCTCTGAAGAAGGGGGTTCGTCTCCCAAAACGCGTCAGATTATCCCTATGCAGGGTGCAGTATTGTATTGGTCTCTTGTCGTGGACTACCTGTTCTGTTTTTATTCGCTTTTTGGGTTTGTGAGTATATATCTATTTGTTTTCTTAATAAATACGTGGTGTACCACGGTAATGCACGATGAGAGTGCGCCCTTGTCTGCTTTTGTCCACCAGTACCCAGATTTCCCGATCTTAGAATTGCTGCACCTCACCATTTGGCATTCAGAATACCGTTTAGTCTGTATGAAGATTTGAGCGCTGGTTTCGTTTGTTTTTGGATACGAACAGAACTATACTAGTGCATCCTTTGTATAGTGCCCAAAAAGTGAGGTGTTAGCAGGATCGGCCTCGTTCGCTGCCAGCACCAGCGTTTAGCCCCTCTGCTGGTTTTCACAGAAGATTTATATGAATTGATTCTGGACCAAATGTAACTCTTGCCAGACAATTTGCATGGAAATGTATCACAGCTTCCGAATGTAAAGCTTTTTTGTGGCCTAACCCTCAACATGGACATTACAAAAAAAGAATGAATTCCAGTCAAATTGGTCCACAGACCAGATTCATCATATGCCCATTTCTCTTTTGTTACATATATATCAAACATGGACTAGCAACATACTGGTACATCGCTGGACTTTGAGTGGTTATACCGGGATGATGCCTGCACCTACAGGCATCATCTTGGTATAATTTTTTTCATCTGACAGTTGGCTTGCATGTAAAAACAATCCTAGCCAATCATTAGCCGCTAGATCGCTTTTACAAGCAGCAGGACTGGACTCCCTCACCCCTCCCGCCACCTTCCAAGGTTTTCTTGGGCTCTCTCATCCCACAGCGTGGAACCCAAAAATGAAGTTCCGCTGGCTGGCAATAGAGCTGATCGAAGACTTGAATGCCTCCAATCATCTATATGGTCTAAGAGACCGAAAGCTACGAGCATTTCATCATTTCTGTTTTGCCAGATATAAACAGGACCATTTTAAAATTGGTGTGATCAGATACTTTAAGGGCAGAGGAGACCTAATAGACCCCAGATTTCTAAAAAAAAAGAGTACCTGTCACTGCCTATTGCTATCACAGGGGATATTTGCATTCCCTGTGATAACAATAAAACTGATCAAAAAAAAAAATAAAGGGACAGTGCAAAAATAATTTCAAAAACGGATAATAAATAATAAATTCACCCCCACCCCCCCATTCCCGTGCACACACGCAGAGGTAAACCCAAGCGGCGGTCCCATGGCGGTATGTAAACAGAGACTGCACCATGCATGTGAGATATCACCACAAACATCAGATAGAGGACAGTAATTCTAGCACTAGACCTCCTGTGTAAATCTAAAGTGGTGACCTGTAAAGGTTTTTAAATCGTCGCCTATGGATATTAAAAATGTATGTATTTTGTCGCTGTTGCACGGGCGTACGCAATTATTAAGCATGTCAACTTTTAGATTTTATCAAACAGTTGGGCAATATATTGTGTTTTCATGCATTAAAATTCTAAAAAGTGTATTTTTTTCCAAAACATTTGTATTTGAAAAATGACTGTACAAATACTGTGTGACATAAAAAATTTCAACACCCACTGTTCTATTCTCTAGGGCCTCTGTTTTAAAAATATATATATAATGTTTGGGGGTTCAAAGTAATTTTCTAGCAAAAACAAAAACTGTTAGAGAAGTTAGAAAAGTGGGTGATATCTGGCATAAGCTTCTAATGTTGGCCCTGAAATACCAGGATAGTAGAAGCACCCCCCTCCCCAAATGCTAAGAGGCATGGTGAGTATTTTGAAGATCTCATTTGTGGCCAAAAGTTTTGGAAAATGAAGAAAGAAAAGGAAAATGCATTTTCTTTTTTCTTTCGTTCTTCTTTTTAAACCCTGTGACAAAAATCATATCTGTAAAATACTCACCATGCCTCTTATCAAATTCCTTGGGGTGTGTACTTTCCAAAAAGGGGTCATTTGGGGGGTGTACTATCCTGGCATTTTAGGGTGTCTTAAACTGTGATAGGTAGTGAAGAGGTGATATGAGGAAATATGCCCTTTAAAAGCCTGGTGGTAATTGGATTTGGGGGGTGTGTATGTGGCTAGGCTGCCAAAAAGTCTCTCATATGTGGTGAGCAATATAGCATTTAAGTGGCAACTTTTTGTAAAAAATAAATAAATAAATAATAATAAAATGTTCCATGGACTCAACATGCCTCTCAGCAAATTCCTTAGGGTGTCTACTTTCCAAAAAAGGGTCATTTGGGGGGGGGGGGTTTGTACTGCCCTGGCATTTTAGCATCTCAAGAAATGTAATAGGCAGTCAGAATGTAAAAGCTGCGCAAATTCCAATATATATATATGAGTTTGTAGATGCTATAACTTTCACACAGACCAAATTATTATACATGTATTGGATTTTTTTTTACCAAAGACATGTAGCAGAATACATGTTGGCCTAAGTTTATAACTAACTTTGAGTTTACTGGAAATTTTTTATAACCGAAAGTAAAAATGTTTTTTTCAAAATTTTCAGTCTTTTTTCATTTATATCACAAAAACTAAAAAACCAATTGGTAATCAAATACCACCAAAAGAAAGCTCTATTTGTGTGAAAAAAAGGACACAAATTTCATTTGAGTACAGCATTGCATGACCTCGCAATTACCAGTTGAAATAGCACAGTGCTGAATGGCAAAAAATGGCCCGGTCATTAAGGGGGGTAAATCTTCCGGAGGGCAAGTGGTTAAAGTATAGGTAAACCCTCATCTTGTAATACAAGCCATTTGGTTTGAAATAGAAATGAAAGGCAAAACATTTGTGTATAAATATAAAAAACATTATAAACACCTTTTTCCCTTTTTTATAGGTGATCACATACCCTCTGCTCCAGGGGCAGACTGAAAACTCATGGGGCCCCCGGGCAATAGGGGACCATGGGGCCCCTGTGTCCTTGCCCAAACTCAAAAAAGCCTATGAAAAAGGTACCAGAGGCATCTCATGGGGTCCCCTACTGACCCCGGGCCCTCGGGCAGTGCCCAAGTTTCCAAATGGTCAGTCCGCCCCTGCTCTGCTCTCAGCTGCATAAGGTTCTCAGAGAGCTAGGGGTGGAGAAACAGCAGGACACTGGTCTTTCCAGTGAATGTTTTGGCAAAGGGGGGGGGGGGTATTTCGATACAAGTCTGATCATTGGAGGAGAGCACACTGAGTTCCCAACACATCTAAAGAACTGCCCACTCTGTGCTCTCATGCCTAGTGTGGTCAGTTTTGAATAGGAAAGCAGAGGGGCTGGCAGGAACACCAGGGATTTCACTCAAAGGTAATAATAGAAAAAGAACAGGAGACTTTTTCATACAAGGACATGGTACGGCAGGCACATATCAGAAATATGAAATGTTGGGTTTACATATTCTTTACATATTGGGTTGCTGCATTTTGTATGCAGTCATTGCTGATTGCCTTGTTTTAAAAAATAAGCCCATGCATAAGACTCTCATCTACGGCACATCTACTATTATGTAATCTCATTCTAGACTCATGGCATCTGGCCATCAATATTCCCCGAACTGTGTTGGAACTATTGACTGGTACAGGGTGTAGTCTGGCCAGTGGGCATTCCCTTTGGGATGTTATATGAAATTAAATTGCATTACCTGCCTTGATGTCATCAACCATGGCATCACTTGGAGTTTATCACTACCCCCTGACATATCTGAAATACTTTGAATAATAATGTTCATGTGTACTTCATTGTATTTGTATTACTATTTTAAAATGCTAAGCAATAAATGCTGCATGACTGCGTAGTTGTAGAAAGCTAATGCTTGATACATAGGCTAGCAAATATTTCTTCTGAGACTTGACATCGTGACAACACACTTAACTACACCAATTGGTATGGGAAATTGAGTAGTCTCATGGGAGTGTCTGGGATGCTGACCACAAACATTAGGCAAGTATTTGCAAACTGATATCAAAATCAGCTAACGTATGATAGACACACTGTAGCTTGATAGTCAAAGCAAAAGGAAATGGAACTTTTGGATACTTATATACTGAAATGCAAAGAGACTAATTACAAAACTGCTATGAATAAATAATAAGCATTGCCAGGATCCTGAAAGAGCTGGGGCAAACAATGGGTTGAAAGTGGCATCCACTGAATGGACTAGTTAAATGGAAGTGGTTTTAAAGAGGTGTATTTTAGGAGTGCTTGGCCTTCTAAGGCTATGGGTTGTAGCCTCTATATTTAGGAAGCACAGAAAAGAACAATCATTAGATCACAAGATGCCATAACGTTCAAAACCTAGCATGCCCCTCCAGCTCCCTGGACAATCATATACACTCTTTGACCTGCAACACCACAATAATTGATGACCTACTCTTCATTTCTTCCCTGAAATAAAAGCTGCTGCTTCTGCTTTCTTGGGTGCTACCTTAACACAGTGGTGGTCTTTTTTGCTTGATAAGGAGACCACATGTAAAGCCTTTGATCCTCATGAAGGCCTATGCATTACATTCAAAAACAATAACTGTCTACAGATTGAATTTTATTAAAATGAAAAAATGTTTTCTTTAAAGTGATAGTAAAGGAAAAAAATATAAAAAAACTACAAACATATCTATACTTACCTGCTCTGTGCAATGGAAATGCACAGAGCAGTCCGAACTTCCTCTTCTCGGGTTCCCCACCGGCGCTCCTGTCTGCTTCTCAGTATCCAGTGATTCCATTGGAAGCCTTTATCATAAAAGGAGCTGTAGCTGATTATAAAGTGTGAGCTCTACTTTGACGTGTTTGTTAGTGTATTTAAATCTGCTACTTTATTTAACACTACTCCCTCCCATACAATGCCAGCCAGCCACTCCTGCCTGAAGACCAAGAGCTGAGTGATCAGCAGTGTTTGATCGCTAATTTCTTGGTCTGGAGCCAATGGGTGACAGATGCAGGATCAGAGTGATGCTGCATCTACCTAGGTGAGTATAATTTTTTTTAGGAATCCCATTCTCTTTTAAAGGGGAACTTCATCTATTTGTTATCCTTATGCTTCTAGCAATAGTAAAGAGATAGGAAAGTGTATACAGTAATATTTACTTGTTTTAAACTTTTTTTTTACATTTCTTCAGATACTTCCTGGTTTCCATGCCTAGGCAAATGGTATCATATACATTCCAGGGGTCTACAGGAGGGGAGGAGGTTTTTTTTTAGCTAAGTACACCCTCTTGCCTGCATGTTTGGAGCTAAGGGTAGATAGATTCCAGGAAGTAAACGCTATATGAATCATCTGCCCTTACTCAAAATAGCTGCGGCCAGAAATGCTGGGGGGGGGGGGGGGGGAGGTTCAACCTGATTTCTAAGCAAAATAAAGCATGGAGAAGTGGATGGATGGGGAGCTGATTATTAAAAATTCATGAATTAACAGCAGAATTGGTTTGTGGTGCTCAGATGCAGCGAAGTTCTGCTTTATGCTGGCCATATACAGTTAGCGGTTTTTTTTTTTTATTCAGCCACAACAAGCTGGAATAAGGAAGAATCCCCCTGCCCGACATTCTGACAGCAGTACCCACCACTGTCAGAATACCCTGATCAGTGGTTGAAACAAATTGGCTGCAGCCGCTGATTGACATTACATTTCCCAACATGTCCCTGCGACAGAAGTTGATTAAACAATTGAATTCTGTTGAGTGGAGGAGCATGTACACTGATTGAAAATTGACCAGCCACCTGTTTTTTGGTAATATTAGTTGCACCATAGACAGTCTGTGAAGGTAGTGTACAACCTTATCTAAACAGACTTAAATCCCACAACAATGAGAATGCCGTGTATTGAGTTTTTGTTACATACAGTGTATTCGTTCTCTCTCTGTATGTGTCCCCTTCCCTACTTATTTATTTCATTAACGTGTATTACAACTTCTAAATTGTAATATTTCTATTTTTGTATACTTTTCCATGAGGGAGAGTGTTTCCCCAATATCCCCAACACTGCCCCCCAGTATGCTGGAAATAGGACATAAAAATGCAATACTGGTGGACCATGTGTCTATCTGTAAGGGCTCATTCACACTAGCACGCGCACTATAACACGTTGTGTAGGGGCAATGCATTTTTACACTGAGTCACAATGTTTACTTTTTTTTATTTTATTGAAATGTCACAAAATGACATTTCATTCAACTCTATGCATCTCAACATGCTGTGGTGTAGACATGTAATGCAGCATGTTGCACTGCATAAACAAGCATACATCACCGTACATGCATGGCGTGAACAGGGCACAGAGAACAGTTGTTTTCTGTGTGCCCCCGTGTTGAGCTTGCACTGATCCATGCAGATCAGTGCAACTCAACAGATATGATATAAACGAGTCCTAAAAGTATTTACAATGGTCAACTGGAAAAGTATAAACATCATAAATAAATAAATGTTTTAGAAAATGTATCATATTTATTCCTGAGTTTTTGAGAATAAAGTAATTAAAAATGTTTTTAAGCCCGGGTTCACACCGGTTTCTGTGCGATTTTCACACCACATCATGATTGCACCCTGTTCATGCGAACTACTGCAGGTTTGTATGTTAACTTAACAACACCCCGAAATTGGTTCAGAAAACGCGGTGCAATGTGCAGAATTGGATGGCATGGGTGTGAATATGCATGTGATCCGATTCTGGTGTGTACACCTTCACGCGATCAGAGCAATACAAAATGTATGGCTTAAATTGCACTGCATAGAAATCGCATGTGATTTGCACAGGAATGCGCTGTGGTTTCTGTGTGAATCACATGCGATGTGCTGTACCGCATCAGTTAACCCTGGGCTCAATGACGATTTGGCTTTTCCCAGTGGTGAATGTAATGTTATGCGTATAAACAGAAATAAATGTGCTAATATTCCCATATACAGGTACATTTTTTTGCGCAGTAGAGAAGCCTTCACTTGCAGCCCCAGAGACTTGTTAACATGTGAAAAAGGAAAAAGATTACAGTTGGCTGTATATGTGCAGGTGTAAATTTAAAGGTACTTACAAAATGTTGTTACTTATGCTGGTAAAACAGAGCCAATTAAAAATTAGCACCTGTCATCTCAATGGCATAAACACAATTATTATTATTATTATTATACAGTATTTATAAAGCGCCAATAGTTCGCTCAGCGCTGTACATTACAAAGAACATGTGACAGAACAATACCAATACAATGCAAAACATGAGGGGATTGAGGGGCCCTGCTCTTTGGAGCTTACAATCTAGGAATTTAGATCAGTATAGTGAAAGTGGGTCCATACAAGATAGGAGAGTAGCCTCTATGGGAGGGATTTACCAAAACTGGAGAGTGCAAAATTTGATGCAAATCTGCAGAAAAGCCAATCAGCTTCAAGGTCTTATTGCCAAAGCTGATTGAACAAGTTGAATTTAAAAGCTGATTGGCTATCATGCACAGCTGCACCCAGGGGCGGACTGACAACTCATGGAGCCCCAGGCAATAGGGGATCATGGGGCCCCTGTGTCCTTGCCCAAACTCAAAAAAGCCTATGAAAAAGATACCAGGGGCATCTCATGGGGCCCCCTACTGACCCCGGGCCCTTGGGCAGTGCCCGAGTTCCAAATGGTCAGTCCGCCCCTGGCTGCACCAGATTCTGAGTGCCCCAGTTTTAGTATATCTCCCCTTATGAGTCACGGTACCATAAGGGTTTCCACTTGCTTCAGGGTTCTTGCTTTCTGCTCCTCCAACTTTATTTCTGCCACCACTGTCCAATTAAAGCTGGTCCCTTGCAGATATATAGAACACAATTAATGCAGATATGTACCCATCAAAAAAAAAAAAACACAACTAGGGTAAGTACCTCTTGATATCACCCCCTTGCACTCCCTATACAGCAATACCCAGACTGGGAGAAGGAGGGCAGCACTGGGAGCAACGTAGCTGTGCTGCATGCAAATGTGTTGACAAGAAATATGCTGGTAGGAGTAGAATGAGCAATAGGATGACCTCATCAGTCTGCTGCTGCTCTTTCATTGTCCAGTTAGCAGACTGTAGGTGGAGGGAGGGAATTACTGTATGTTACAACTTAATGGAGTCCATTTAGTGTATCAATCTGCAATGAGGAGTGGAGATAATGTTCTCTGCC